GCTCCTTTCAATGTGGAGGAGCAGCAGCTCTACTCTGAGCCCCTCCTGGATGGGCTGAATTGCTTGACCTATCTCTGAGGAAGAGGCCAACCACCCTTCGGAGGAAGCGCATTTCTGCCGCTTGTATCCGTGATCTCATTCTTTCAGTCAGTACCCACAGCTCGTGACCATGGGCGAAGGTAGGGACGTAGATCGACCGCTAAATTGAGAGCTTTGCTTTTACACTCAGCTCCCTCTTCACCACAACGGACTGGTACAGCCGCAGCATCAATCCGTCTGGCGATCTCCCACTCCCTTCTTCTTTCACTTGTGAACAAGATCCCGAGATACTTAAACTCCTCCACTTGGGGCAGGAGCTCATCCCTGACCTGGGGTGGGCACTCCAGCCTTTTCCAGCTCAGGACCATGGCCTCAGATTGATTGATTTTATGATTGTTTGCGCTGTGAAAACCATTAATGGATGATTGTTTTTATGTTATGTCTTATCATAGCATGTCGTTTTCACCCGGAGGCATTAGTGAGGAATGAGTAATGGACACAGTTACGCTGAATGAAGTCAGCGTGATTAAGAGACCATCAAACTGGTGCATTGCTCATATGGAAGAAAAGGGCAGGTGGACTAGCAGAGACTTGCAGGAAGGGAACATGATAATTGTTTAATTTAGAGGTACTTTTGGTTGTAAAATTATTCAAGTTATAAAAAAAAATGTTCCTCTGTTTTTTTCATGTCTCACAATTGAAATCTTTACTCCTGTCATAGAGTTGCTCATAGAAAGGTTTTCACAGGTTTATTTCATAATTTCTTTTTGGTTTTCTTTTTTAGTTTAAAGAAAATATTGCATGTATGTAAATTATGGGTGACACAGTGATGGAGTGGTTAGCACTGTCACCTCAGCCAGGTTGGAAACTCAAATAATGGCTTTCATGAAATTGTGTGGGGTTTGCAAGCTCTCCCTGTGTCGGCGTGGATGATAATGTGCTTGAAGTGAACGGGAAGGGTTTAAATACCTGGGATAAATGATTCAAGGCAATGGACAGTGTATAACAGAGGTGAAGAAGAAAGTGCAGGCAGGATGGAGATTGTGATTGTATGGGTGATTTGTAACAAACCAAGAGGAGCATAAGTGAAAGGGAAGGTTTACAAGGTGATAGTGAGACCTTCTATGGTTTATGGTTTGTAGACTGTGGCACAGAAAGAAAATCAGGAGGGTGAGCAGACACGGCAGAATTGATCATTGGGACAGCTCAGTTTGAGTGGGTTGGAGACACAGTTAGAGAAAAGGCTCAGATTGTTTCCACATGTGCAGAGGAGGGATAGTGGATGTAAAATATGGAGCTGCGAGGCGAAAGTAAAGGAGGAAGACCACAGAGAAAGTTCGTGGATGTAATGAAGGAGGACATGCAGAGGGCTGGTGTGACAGAGAAGACTGCTATAGATAGGGAGGCAGATGATCTGCTGTGGTGAACCCTAAAGGGAGCAGCTGAATAAGAAAGAAAGAAACAGCGAAATAAATGCACAGAACATAGCACTGTATGAAAGTTATATATGAGTGAATGACCTTATGGTACTGTTGGATTAAAAAAAATACTTTATTAAGTTTTAGCAAGTAACAAAGAGTCTGACACACATCCAAAAGAATGACCAGCCCACCCAACATCCCACTGCAGTCCTATTACATAGTTAACAAATTCACAAACATAAATAAATAAATAAGTTAACTTGTCATCAACAGCCATCAAGCTAACAATCAGAGATTCTGGGATATTACCGAGTACTCCAGAAGCAAGTATTTAAAGCCAGAAGGTGGATAGTGTAGACAGAGTGACCAGACCCTCAAAAACAATTTGTCATGACTCTTTATAGTCGCTTGTAGTCTTTCATGTGGAAGAGCATTAAAGATTTCCCAGTTCCCAATGGTAACACTAGAACCTTTAATCCAGTTGAGTGAAATACACTTTCTGGCAATTACAGGGAGTGCAGAATTATTAGGCAAATGAGTATTTTGTCCACATCATCCTCTTCATGCATGTTGTCTTACTCCAAGCTGTATAGGCTCGAAAGCCTACTACCAATTAAGCATATTAGGTGATGTGCATCTCTGTAATGAGAAGGGGTGTGGTCTAATGACATCAACACCCTATATCAGGTGTGCATAATTATTAGGCAACATCCTTTCCTTTGGCAAAATGGGTGAAAAGAAGGACTTGACAGGCTCAGAAAAGTCAAAAATAGTGAGATATCTTGCAGAGGGATGCACCAGTCTCAAAATTGCAAAGCTTCTGAAGCGTGATCATCAAACAATCAAGCGTTTCATTCAAAATAGTCAACAGGGTCGCAAGAAGCGTGTGGAAAAACCAAGGCGCCAAATAACTGCCCATGAACTGAGAAAAGTCAAGCGTGCAGCTGCCAAGATGCCACTTGCCACCAGTTTGGCCATATTTCAGAGCTGCAACATCACTGGAGTGCCCAAAAGCACAAGGTGTGCAATACTCAGAGACATGGCCAAGGTAAGAAAGGCTGAAAGACGACCACCACTGAACAAGACACACAAGCTGAAACGTCAAGACTGGGCCAAGAAATATCTCAAGACTGGTTTTTCTAAGGTTTTATGGACTGATGAAATGAGAGTGAGTCTTGATGGGCCCGTGGCTGGATTGGTAATGGGCAGAGAGCTCCAGTCTGACTCAGACGCCAGCAAGGTGGAGGTGGAGTACTGGTTTGGGCTGGTATCATCAAAGATGAGCTTGTGGGACCTTTTCGGGTTGAGGATGGAGTCAAGCTCAACTCCCAGTCCTACTGCCAGTTTCTGGAAGACACCTTCTTCAAGCAGTGGTACAGGAAGAAGTCTGCATCCTTCAAGAAAAACATGATTTTCATGCAGGACAATGCTCCATCACACGCGTCCAAGTACTCCACAGCGTGGCTGGCAAGAAAGGGTATAAAAGAAGACAAACTAATGACATGGCCACCTTGTTCACCTGATCTGAACCCCATTGAGAACCTGTGGTCCATCATCAAATGTGAGATTTACAAGGAGGGAAAACAGTACACCCCTAAAATGGCTAAAACTAAAAACTACTTCCAAAAACATGCAGCTTCGATATTAATGAGTTTTTTGGGTTCATTGAGAACATGGTTGTTGTTCAATAATAAAATTATTCCTCAAAAATACAACTTGCCTAATAATTATGCACTCCCTGTAGAAGAAGCTTCTCCAGAAATCTGTAGTGTGCTAGGTGCAACTCGCTAGAGGGTAGACCTAAGAGGAAAACACCAGGATCTTTAAAAAAATAATAATAATAAAGAAGCTTATTTTAAACATTCCACTAATTTCCTTAGACATAACTTTCCAGAACCTGGAAATCAATTTAGACTCTTGTGCAAAACATCAGCGGTGATATGCAATCTGTGAACACTATTATACTGAGTCTCTTGCACATGAAGGTAGATTTGATCAGGGTTATAGCTTCCTGCCAGTCATCCTCTATATATTCTGTGCCTGAATCCTTTTCCCACTTATGAGCAATATTTACAGCTCACATCAGAGGAACAGAGAAGGAAGTAGACTAGTGCAGCGGTCCCCAACCCCCGGGCCTCGGACCGGTATCGGTCCGTGAGTCGTTTGGTACCGGCCAACAAGAGTAGAGGCTCCGGTGTGAAATGTATGGTTCTCAGGGTTTTTTATCGGTTTTCAGCGTTATTTTGTTATCGTTTTTATCATTAACTTGGTTTTCCTGGGTCTTTTCACGTGTGTTATGAATAAATCTTCTTTTTTTCAGTACCGGTACTAGTTTTATTTTGTTGTATTTATCCGCGACACCTTAAAGGCCGATATTGTCGGGCATAAACCGGTCCGTGGTGCAAAAAATGTTGAGGGCCGCTGGACTAGTGAAATAAAATGTCTCCCAGTTTGGTGATATTGTTCAATTTATGGTGTGACACTTTTATATGATTTGTACTGTCTTGATAGCATCTTGTCCATAAAGACAGTAACCAGTATAGTGTAGATATCTATCACTGCAAACACATGAAATTGATGTAGAATTCCAGATTATGCCTCATAAAAAGAATCTCTAAAGCCTAAAAGCACCTTTAGAAAAAGTTAGGGGGAACCTCGACACAAAATACGGACAACGTCATGGCCGTGAATGCCTGCGATTGAATGTCGATAAAAGGGGAACCCCTTGTCATCAGGAGGGCTGTCTTTAACCTGCTTCTACACCCCTGTGGCGACCGTCCAATGTCACATTCACAGTTAATACCGTGCAACCCAAATTACAGCCAGTAGAGATATTATTAGTTTATCTAAATATATTATTTAAATATTGCTATTGAGGTGCTTTTAAAACGCGAGTAAACTGTGTATCTATTTTTATATATCACTATTATCCAGACTGGCGTCAGCCATTTTTAAACATTTTAAATGCCTTAATTTTTAATCGCTACCTCGGTCGCTCGGACAGTGGAGTAGTTTGTGTGGAAAAGCCACATAAAAAAACGCGGAGTCATTTCCCCTTTCGAAGATCACTCAGCGATTCCCTCAGTTTTCCCTCGGCTACTGTACTTGCAAAATAGTGCGCCCTGCTGTCTCTATTGCGCATGACTGTACGTCGTAATATGAAGTAGGCCTCCTGTTTTTCTCCCCAACCCGAAGTCCTCCTGGCCCCCACCACCTCGCTGCAACGCTCACAAGTAAGCAAAACACGGAGGCTGCTCTCGATTATTCTTCAAGGTAAGGGTTTTTAATGCATACGCGAAGCTGGTGGCGGTTACCGATCGTGAAATAGCACGGCAGCCGTGGTTTGTAGACGGTGTTTTCGGCGTGCGGAAGCGGTCGGACTGCAGAGCAGGCTTCGGGACTGTTTCCGCACGCTTGAGGGAGAGCAAGGCCCAGTGACCCACATTTGGAGCAGCCAGTGTCTATGTGTAAGAGTGGGCGAGCGCGTGCGCGTATCCTTGCCAGTGTGTGTGTGTGTGTGTGAGTGAGAGCCCGCGCGCGTGTGCCCGGGAACAGTCTATGTATGTGTGTATGTACATCTGCCGCGAAAATGTTTCCACCGTCGTTGGTTTTATAGATGTGTCTCCGCGGTGGATAGGCATGTTTTTGTCGGCTTACGCGAGGACCTTGCCCCGCGCGGATGTTCATGCGCGGCGTTTGAGGACCCGACGGTAATATTTTAGATTATTTCATCTTCAGTGTCAGTTGTTGCGTGACAGCTTCGGGCTCGGCGCCAGCTTGCTATGATAGACATATTTTTCCTCTTGTTTATTTTTGACAAATGTGAAATGCTTTACCCGTGAGTGTCATTCAGTGTTTTCGGAGTGTGAGCATGAGGAAACTGGGGCAGTAAGAGCATTAAATCTCTGAGTTAAATTGGCAGTTTTCGGTAGCAAGCTTAGTTAGCCTGCTAGCTAGCTATATGGGTTGCTCTCTTTTAGGTTGTATAACTAACACCTGTGGCATTAAATTGTATATGTTAAACGCTAGATTGCCTTATCTTATGGCTCGTTGCTGTTTTGGGAGACGGAAAAACATTCGGTCATGTTGCTCATATGAGAGTTAATTCATTGGGAATGGTTTACAACGTCTTCGTCCAATGAAGAAGCTCAGTTTAACGAGGCTTCACTTATTGGCCATGAAGAGAACACCAAGTGCAGGTCAGCATCCCGAAATATAGCCTTGGGACCACCAGTGTGATCTCCTTATGATGGTTTTATACACATGAGGGAGATATGAGAGGGCATCTCCTCTAGTATGCTGTCCACAGTTGTTAGTGTAGTCTTCGTGACCTCTCTGCCCACACTTATATACAGCAAAATCCTCTTAGAAGGCGTTGATTAAGTGGTGGTCTGTTGTCCCTGTGCCGGTGGGACTACTTGACGAGTTTGGAAGCGACTCCTATAGACTAATCTTTTAAGCCTTTAGCAAATGCTGAAATTGATTATTCGACTCTTGTGCATGAGTTTGCTTGTTGAAAAAAGCACTAACACTCACAAGTTATTGCTGTTCAGTTGTGGTGCTGGTTGGTGTTAATGTAAAGAGTAAATCTTTAGACTGTTGTTTTTAATAAAAAAAGAAAACGCACACTGAGCATTGATGCGAAGACTAGATTGGTCATAACAGTTTGAGAATCAAAACAACAGAACTGTTGATTAACAGGAAAACAATCAGCAACTACTCTAAGTCATCACCAGTCATTTTTCATGGCAAAATGCCAAGGTTATATTGGGTCCAGCACCTCAATTGTGATCATATATCTCTGTAAAATGATTGGACTGTTGCTGAGATAATGGGGTATTTGTTGTTAATTTTTTTATATGAAAGTAGTATTAAATCCCTTTTACTTTTAACCGTTTCTTAGACAGAGCATACTTGTTTTTGGCGTTTTAGTGGTATGACAAATCTATGTGTAAAAGCTGATTACTTGCAGCTCAGGTTTCCTGTTTTGTACTTTTGTACTTAGCAACTAACATCTGCATTTTTCGGGTGACTTCTAGAATTTCTGTGCATGGTAAACAGTGGGTGTATGTTTGTGTTGCAGGTGAGGTGTGGTTTGCACACACAAGATTTGTCAGCAACTCAAAGGCTGCGATCTCAAACAGCTAATTATACCAACAAGTGACATTCCAGAATGTAAGTTACATGATGTAAAACTATTGTAAGTGCAGAAGTAAATTTCATTTCAGGGTATTTTTTTTGTATTGATTTATGTTATTCACACTTTGAAGATGCTGCCGCATGTTATACTGTAATTTAATAATCTTAATTCATAAAATACATTTATGTCCATAATGTATATTGTACCAAAATTAAAAGGAAGAAACTGATTTTAAAGGGGGAAAAAAGAATAAATAAAAATAAATCTTGGTTTAAGAAATGGCAGACAGTGCACTAGGAGATGGTTATTATGTTTCCAAACTCTCTGGTTGGTCTCCCCATGACCATTAGTTTCTGCTCTGATTTCTCCAGCAGGTTTGCTTGACCACCATGTCCTTCCTGTGGCCTGGTGCCCTCTCATGACCCCAATGACATCAGCTCCACTATTGACCCCAAACCCCTTCTACAACCCCCTGAGAAAATACGTTAACTGAGCACGTGCATAGGCTGCAGTGAGGTGAGAAGTTAATACACAGACACACAGATTTAATCTGGTGCATGGAAAAGTGTTTATTAAATGTCAGAAATTTTTATTATTTAGTGTGTGCATGCATGTATGGAGATGTAACTGTGTTTTTTAAAAAGAAAGGAACTAGTTAAGAGAAAAGATATGATCTGCAAATGTTATGGTTAGAAAAGGGACTACCCTTTCAGGCTTTCACTTCAAAGCCCCATTTAGTGCCTTCATATACAATATGAAAAATAACTAGGAGTTAAACTAATAAACTACCTGCTCTTTTTGTCTCAACAGGTGGTCTTCCAAATGCCTACCTCACGCCTAAAGAACAAATCACTGCAGCCACAGCCCTGATTAGCAGCCACCATGACATCAAGCATGGGGTATAATGCTGCACACAACACCTCAAAATGTTGTCTGCTGTATACAGAATATGTTCATAGTCACATGTACAAAATCACAAAATATATGTATGTAACATCTGGCTCAAAAATTAAAACTCATTATTTTAACTCTTTATATTTCTTTACTTTTGAAAGAATATTTTTTCATTTAAAGAAAGAAAGTTATGGATAGCATCTATGAGTCCCCATCAAATGATTTTTTTTTTTGACCTATATTAATTGAAACGTAGTACACAAATGCGCTTAATCTTCTTGGCAAACAAAACGCATTCCTTCTACTGCTCTCTCTCTCTCTTTCTCTCTCGCTCTCTCTCTCACCCGTTTTCTGTGTGACCCAAAAATAAACCTGCTGCTGGCATGTACAATAGGAATTCTCTCATTAGCCAACATCAGTTATTGGTTATTATTAACAATGCATACCTGCCTTCAAGGCCACCGCACATGCAGGAAAACGTAAACAAGTAAGTCTTGAAAGCTGTGAATGGCTGTAAATATGTTTGCTTTCTTCCTTCTTTAGGGATGATTGTAGCATCTTTGATGGGTTGATGGAAGAAGATGAAAAGGACAAAGCAAAACGGTAAGATAAACATGCTGGAGAGGAGATTAGTCTAGTATGGACTTAAAAAAGTCATAGAATATTGATTAAACATGAGTTAGTACATTTTTGTTAATACACAGTGTCAGAGCTGACTTTGTCCTAATGCCATTCACACAACAGTCATTCTGCCTTGACTTTCACATAACCAGGGTCACTTATGATAAAGTTACATTACTGTTTTTTTAAAGGTTGTGTTTTTAAAGCCCAGTCAAAACACTGGATGAAAACAGAACCAAATAAAATGTCTTAAACCTTCTATTTCAAAACTATTTTTGCTTGCAGCGTGTCCCGTAACAAGTCTGAGAAGAGACGGCGAGACCAGTTCAATGTCCTCATCAAGGAACTCGGCACAATGTTGCCTGGCAACACTAGAAAGATGGACAAGTCCACCATCCTGCAGAAAAGCATCGACTTCCTGTGTAAACACAAAGGTCAGAGCTTTCTGCCGTGCTCGTCTCACTTCCTGTTTTTGCTAAACACCTCACAGGGTGGATGTTTTTTGTATATTTAGCTTGATCATTCCGATTTAGCCACACTTATCAGGGTTTGCTTACCTTCATCACTAGAAAGCGAAAGTATGTTTTTATTGCCTTTTTATGAGACATTGGTGCTGTAATTTTACATTACAAAATGGTAACTATTTGAACCAGTTGTGTATTTTTGACCTAACAAGTTATTCTTAAAGTAAATCTACCTTTATGTCTTTTAATAATTATAAGGGTTTCAGCAGTTTTAACTTTTTATGAATACTGATATTGTGTTTATGTTAAATTATTTCATCACTGTTTATAGGTCAATGATCCTTTTGTTTTTATCTAGTGTCATTGACTTGCAAGATAATAAAATACCAGCTTCCGCCTAGTATGTTTTTAACTGTCTTGTTTTCATACTGGACATAGCAGTCTCAAAACATTTTTCCACCCAGTTGTTTACTGTTAACTTTATGCTGTTTTTGTTGTCTTTTTACATGCCCTCACCTCTCGTGCTCTTATTCTTCCTCGACGTTTTCCACTATGTCTGTATTAAGTTCTGACTGAATTCTCTGTCCTTCACCAGAGATTGCAGCTCAGTCTGAGTCGAGTGAGATCAGGCAAGATTGGAAGCCTCCATTTCTTAGCAATGAGGAATTCACCCAGCTCATGCTGGAGGTCAGAAATCTTAGGTTTCGTTCTGTAATCTTGTTTGTTGTGTAAAAACACAGGCACTTGACCCACAGTTGTATTACTGCAGTGGTCAGTGTCACCTCATTTTGTACAGTATAGTTATATCTGAAGTTAAATTTACAATTTTAAGTTTGTCCTTATGGGATTTGACACTGTTTTGTTTTTGTGTTTTTTTTTTTTAACAGGCTCTTGATGGGTTCTTTATAGCAATAATGACTGATGGCAACATCCTCTACGTGTCTGAGAGTGTCACTTCACTACTAGAACACCTCCCGGTAAATCACCTCCCCCTGCAACCGTGTCTGTATTAGTCATACACTTTATTATAACAAAAGCTTTCATAGGATCTTTTGTGTGGTTCAGATTAAACATGTCAGGCTGACCAGTGTGTATTGAAAAGGGCTTGTCTTCATTTGTATTCCTCTTGAATGTGTGTGTGTGCCTGTGTGTGGGTGTTTTATCAGGCGGATTTGGTGGACCAGAACCTGTTAAACTTCCTGCCGGTTGGGGAACACTCCGAAGTGTACAAGGCTCTGTCCACACACCCCTCTGAGCTAGAGAACCTTAGCACTGATTACCTAAAGTGTGAGTAACACACCGTCATCTTGTACCATAAAACCTGCTTATTTGAAATGATATGGTTTACAATTTATTTTTTTTTTGTATGTCTGATGATTAAATAGGATTATTTATTATTATCAGATTAAAAATGCTCACAAGTAAAAGTATTTCTCAAATAAATTGATAAATAAATAATGTTAAAAAGGATTCAAATTTCAAAAACGTCACCATAGTGTGAACACACGGCTTGTCAGAGTGAAGCTGCTGGACTGGACATGACCTTTGTGGAGCACATGAACAGCATGTTTTTACAAGCAGTTGTATTTTTTTTCCTTGGTAATTATAATCTCTTTTTCTTTTTTGTCTCCAGCTAAGAATCACATGGAGTTCTGCTGTCATATGCTGCGAGGGGCCATTGACCCCAAAGAATCCCCTGTTTATGAATATGTTAAGTTCATCGGCAACTTCAAGTCTCTCAGTAACGGTATGTCCCTCGCACTGCATGTGAGGAATTTCAGAAGATTTTTTTTTTAAATACTATTTTCCAAACAAGCTTGCATGTATAGATACAAACTAGCATTAAACTTGTGTGTTAAACCCATTAAATGTTAAAGTCAAAAAGTGGAAAATAAGCATAATTTTAAGATATCATTTACTAGCCTAGAAAGATATTATTCTGTGTACTGCTCTGTGAACCACATTTTATATTCTTTGACATGCTGAGTAAGTAACACTGTTGTGCAGTTCCCAATGTGACTAGGAACGGTCTGGCAGGGGTGTTACAGCGGTCGCTACAACCTGCCTTTGATGACCAGGTGTGCTTTGTAGCCACGGTCCGGCTAGCTAAGCCTCAGTTTATCAAGGTATTATTCAGACATGAACTGACTTTACTCATTAGACTGTCAAGTATTTATTTGTCAATTAGCTATTAATTATCTCTCAAAACATCTAATTTTCACAATTTTATTTTCATAGGAAATGTGTACGGTGGAGGAGCCCAATGAAGAATTCACATCAAGACACAGTCTAGAATGGAAATTCCTCTTTTTAGACCATCGGTAGGCAGATCTAGTTCTTCTCCTGTATACTCAATCACAACAGGTTGTTGGGTGGTTGAGTTGCACCCACATGGCTGCTGTCTTATATAGATGGCTGAAACACACATTCACACACATTATGATTGGTCAGTTTAGCAAATGTGAGACTTTATTCATGCATCTAACCTCTTAAGTTCTGTCTTCATTCATTATTGACAAATTTAAATGTGAACTAGAGGATAGTACGGTCTTTTTCCAGGTCATAGTTCAAATATGTTTCATTTCAGTTCTTCACAAACTGTTCTTGTTCTTCAATTTATTTCTCCATTGAGATTTTCCTCCACACTTCTAGTTTCACTTTTCAGGACACCAGAAGTTAAGAAATCATAGAAAATAAATAAACAAATCATAAATAAAATAAATGAGGGCGGCACGGTGGTTAGCAGCGTTGCTGCACAGCAAGAAGGTCCTGAGTTCAATTCCACCATCAGGCCGGGGTCTTTCTGTGTGGAGTTTGCATGTTCTCCACGTTATTGCGTGGGTTCTCCCTGGGTACTCTGGCTTTCTCCCACAGTCGAAAAACATGCAGTTAGTGGGGATAGATTAATTGATCAATCTAAATTGCCCATAGGTGTGAATCTGTGAGTGAATGTGAATGCGACTGGTTGTCTGTGTCTCTATGTGTTAGCCCTGCGACAGACTGGCGACCTGTCCAGGGTGTACCCCGCCTCTTGCCCTATGAAAGCTGGGATAGGCTCCAGCACCCTCCGCGACCCTGGAAAGGATAAGCGGAAGCGAATGGATGGATAAATAAAATAAATAAATGTACATGAAAATAAAGCATTTCTCTAGAAAAAGTATCCGTTCAGCAATTTTACATCAGAGTAAGAAAATTCTTTTACCTTTTACAGAGCGCCACCAATTATAGGCTACCTGCCTTTTGAGGTTTTGGGGACATCAGGGTACGACTATTACCATGTGGACGACCTGGAGACGCTAGCGAAATGTCACGAACACTGTGAGCACTTTAAGTCAAACTAGCAAAAATCTTTTGTAAAAGCCTTTTTCTGAGTGTTTTTGGTAACATCTTTGGCTGTTTCTGCCCCGCTTCTGTTCAGTAATGCAATATGGTAAAGGGAAGTCATGCTACTACCGTTTCCTGACGAAAGGTCAACAGTGGATCTGGCTGCAGACACACTACTACATCACCTACCATCAATGGAACTCTCGACCTGAGTTTATTGTCTGCACGCACACAGTAGTCAGGTACAAGTATGTTTATTTTATTCCCCTTTTCCAGAAGATTGCTGATCACTGGACTTTTTCAGGAACGATGTTGAGTTTGTGTTAACAAAAGACTCTTTATGTCTCTATTTTTATAATGTTTTTATTGGTCAACCATCTTCTCAAACCCCCCCCCCCCCCCCCCCCCTTTTTTTTTTTTTGTTTGTTTTTGTTTTTGGTCTAAAATGCAGCTATGCAGAGGTGAGGGCAGAACAGCGCAGAGAGCTCGGCATCGAGGAGGCAAATCCAGAAGTCACTGCAGATAAGGTGAGAAATAAATAAAACATGTAGCACGGTCCTTATAATTACAAACATGTCAAGCACAGGAGTAAAATTGAGTCTAAAAACAATGTTGTGGTAGAAGTTGTTGCGTAAGACTAACTGAAACAGATGAAAGCAAAAATACCAGAAATATATTACATGTTGAAGTACAATATTCAGCTTCATTAGGAGCTGTTACAATGTTAGATTATGAAATTTATGCTTCAGATTTTCTGCTGGTACCTCAATTACCTTTTAGGCCTGTAATTTCCACTTGTATGCACTCCATTAGATACAATGGATAGGCTTTCTTGTTTTTTAAATCTTTGGTATTTTCTTATTTTTCCAGAGTCAAGACTCTGGCTCAGAGTCACAGCTCAATACGTCCAGCCTGAAGGAGGCACTGGAGCGATTTGACCACAGTAGAACACCTTCGACTTCCTCGCGGAGTTCCCGCAAGTCCTCATCGCATGTGTCTGACAACACCTGCACTTGTAAGGACACCCACAGTTGCACAAGTAATGTGACATACACTGACATACTGTTAAGGGGAGGTGGTGACATATCCTCTCTGTATTAAAATTCAGTGGCTAACTCCTGTAGTAAAATGATATCATCTAAAAATAACCATTGACCACCAATTACTTTCTCTGCAGCGACAGCTCCCAAGTTACACATGGACACGGCCACGCCCCCTCGGCAATCATTAGCATCTACCATGGAGATGACATCACAGCGCCGGTCATCTATCAGCAGCCAGGTGAGACAGGACACAGCTGGCTAATGCATAGAAAATCCTTACAAAACTACTTCTGGCCATAACTAACACAGAAATTGGTCAAGAAAACACTGTTTTCTTTTTTGTTTTATGGATTGGCATATCTGGTTCCTGGTGGAACTTTTGTGCTTGACTATTTCCTGAAGCTTTCTTACGTAATCTGAGCACTAAGCGCAGACAAACGCTTCCGACTTCAAGAACAGTGTTAATTCTGCTGACTAATAAATAATAAGTAAAGTGCTATACAAATGCAGGCCATTTACTATTTTAATAATTTTCATCATAGTTTTTGTCAACAACCTGTTTCTCCCTGACGAAAACAAAATCACTAAAATAAAAACGAATGCATGAGGATAAAAACTGCGATGAAATCTACGGACACTTGTACCAACGAATAAAAACAAGATGAAAATGTTCTGAGAGGCGGTGCGAGTTTTGGAAGTGATCCTGTCAGTATTCTCTGTGTACATCAAGGTTGGATGCACAGAATTTGATCTGCCCTCAGCAAACAGGGTGTGGAGGAAGCTCCCATGCCTCTGTTTCTCATGAAAACATGACAAAATTTAGAGCAGACATATGGACATATTTCGCTTTTTAAGTCTGGGAAAATAAGATGCTTTGCAAACCTTGTGGAGTAAAAACACAAACTTTTACACTTTATATTTTAGGCAAATAAATCAACTTCACATTTAGGTTTTGATAATCTTGTGATATGTAGTTGACCCTAAACTTAGATCCCTAAATTATAACTAAAACTAAATGACTCTTCAGGCAAAAATTCAAAAAAAATTGCTGTCACAAAAACACTTGTTAAAGACAGAGAGCTAAACCAGAGTTACAGTGAAGGCCTGAAAGAGCATCACTGGGGAAATTATAAAGCATCTTTTCAGCTGCTTAAAGTATGGGCTGTACATAAAACCTGTACGCGAGTTTAAATTTCCATTATATCACATTATGTTGAATGTGACCTGATTTTACCACCATAATTTTCAATACATGTAATCAAATTTCTCAGCTACAGTTTTGATTTCAAACTTCAATGGAGAGCAACGGGCAAGGTTAATATGCTGATGAGGTTTCAGTAGGCCAGCGGTTAGCATCAAGACAGTACTGCAGTGTTAGCTGGGATGGTGAGAGGTTCATTGTTTTGCATCTTCACTTCAACAATCTTTCAATCAAAAATACATAATTACCATAAAATCTGTGTTTTTCAACTTACGTACTAAAGTTGTTGTGCTTTGAATGGGCGTTAAGCGGCGTCAAAACTCAGAGATGTGCGTCGCACTGTTGCCTCACAGCAAGAAAGTTCCTGGTTTAAACCTCAGCTAGGGACTTTCTGTGTGGAGTGTGCATATTTTCTCTGTTCCTGTGTGGGTTTCCTCCGGGTAGTCTGGCTTCCTCTCACAGTCCAAAAACATGAATACTAGGTTAACTGTTATTCTAAATTTTCCTGTGTAGATGTATGTATGTATCTGTAAAATTAGAAAAACACTATATAAATGCAAGTGTATTTCAGTTTTAAGTCTTGAACATGTGCATATAAAGTGGTGTAATACAATGAAAAATTCATGCCTGTAATCATAGTTTTTGTTTTCATTATATTTGCAGTCTATGAGCTCTCAGACTACAGGGCAGAGTGTAGCTCCTGGTATGATCAATCAGCAACAACAACAACAACAACAGCAACAGCAGCAGCAGCAACAACAACAACAACAGCAGCTCCAGACAAATGTGCAGGTGAGACATAATTATGTGGAGAAGAGCTCAAATGGTTTGTTGACAACAGGTTAATTGGTGACAAACGTTTTTTTTCAAATGCTTGTATAATGTGGACTCTGAGGTCTTGGACCTTGTGGCATTTAATTAACTGTGCAACCCAACTATGGAGTTCGATTAGCCAGTGTATCCTAATTGCATACACATTGCACAGCTTGTTCTTTTTCTCTCCGTCTGCAGCCAGTGATGGAGTTCTCAGCGCAGGTGAATGCCATGCAGCACTTAAAGGAGCAGCTGGAGCAGAGGACCAGAATGATCCAGGCTAACATTCAGCGGCAGCAGGAGGAGCTCAGACACATCCAGGAGCAGCTGCAGAGAGTCCAGGGGCAGGGTATACAGGTAGGCTGTAGATGCGTATGCAAGATTACTTTTAGGTCAGCACTGCTTTATGACATAAAAGCCTTTTCTTACAGTAGGTGTGTTTAAATCCACTTTACTCAGTGTCTATTTATATCTCTAGTGTAACTTACCTTGTGTCATCCTCTATTACTTTGCTTTATTTCTCTCTATTCATAACTCTTTCTCTGTCTTCATGTCGAAGTTAACATCTGTATATTGAGAAAATGGTGTGTATGACTGCACCTAGTGTTTACAGCAAAATAAAATTAATTATAAAAATAAACCAACAGGGTGGATTCTGTTCACAGGATACAGATAGAGCCAAGAAGTAGTGTTGATGTAATATTTTCCACATGTGGAAAAAAAAAATCAATTAATCGAACAAGAAATGTGACCTCTGTTCAGACCAAGTAGGTGAATTGTCCTGTACCTGGTTTTGCTTGACCTAGATCAGGACTGGAATCCTGCATGCATTATATATTTCTTCTATTCATAGAAAACAGTAAACTGCCATCTCGTGATTGTGTAAAGATAATTTATTTCTGTTGATTATTCTGTTGTCACGCACAGATCTGGTAAAAGTAACACGCACACATTGTGAATCTCCTTACTATCTGAATGTGGCCTGACGTTTCATGTGTCCATTCTAACAGATGTTGCTGCAGCAGCAGGGTGGACCCATGAATGTACAGCTTCCTCAAGTAGGATCAGTCCAGCAGACAACTACGTTGACCAATCAGGTCCAGCAAACAACAATTAACCCCGTCCATTCGGGAACACAGCAGCTCACCATCCAGCAGCAGGCTCCTCCCACTCAACAGAGCTTACAACAGCAGACCAACACCCTTATGCAGGTGCGATACCGGCAGACACACGCAAGCAGACAGGCTATGGAAATACTATGAAAATGGTTTTGAAAGTTCAGATCAGATGAAAATGTTTGTCTGTTTCCTTTGCATGTCCATGATTTTGTCATTTCCTTTTAATCTCAGAAGTTGCCTGTGTGTGCATGTAGTCTTCTTTCAGCTTTCTCTGTGAACAATAATCTTACCTAAATTTGGGACAGTATTAGTCACTTTTATGCAGATATTACAGTGCTATGCTGTGAGGATAAAATGTTAAAATCTCATGCTGTTTGCATTTTTAATAATGTGACACTTTAGGGGTCACTCAGTGATAGTGGAGGCTTTCATTAAACCCCGCCTTTCCTCTGAATAGACACAGTTTAAATTTCCATGTTGTGAATTATTGATTATCTCATGCAATTTTGAAGTCAGCTCAAAATGGTGAGTGTGACAGCAGCAAGACATTTCACCGATTTCATTTTTGTGTCTCAAAGTTAGAAGACAGAAAACTTACGAAAAACCACTTTGACTTACATGCTGATTTATTTTGTGTTATGTGTAAATTTCACACATGACAGCGTAAAAGTGGGGAAAGTGAAACTGGAGAACGAATCCACAGAAAATCTTTAAATAATCTTGTTAATGCTTCGTTAATTTAAAAGACAATGTCATGGCCTTTGCTGTTGCTCCTCTGTAGCCCCAGCGTCAGACTCAGCAAGCTTCTCAGCCTCAGCCCCAACCTCAACCCCAGACCCAGGGCTCTGTATCTGCTCCTTTATACAACACAATGATGATTTCCCAGCCAGGACAGCCAAATGTGCTGCAGATCAGCACCAGCCTGCCGCAGAATAACACCCAGCAAGGCACAGCTGTGGCCACTTTCACCCAGGACCGACAGATCCGGTTAGTGCAGAACAATCGAACCTGATTCCCATTATAATGACAATCTGACAGTTTGTACATTTGAAAAGCTGATATTTACTATGATGGATAAATATATCTAGTTCTTTCTCCAGCTTCCCAGCAGGGCAGCAGCTTGTGACCAAGCTTGTGACAGCTCCAATGCATGCATGTGGTGCAGTCATGGTTCCCACTTCTATGTTTATGGGGCAGGTGGTTACCGCATACAACCCATTTGGGAGCCAGCAGGTAAACACAGTTTGAATGATGTCTGTTTCTTTTGTTTTGCCTCTCTCTGTCTAAGATCAAAACTATTTGGAGTGAAGCCCATTTAAATGATTATATCTGAGCCACTCAGGGCTGACAAACTGCTCCTGGCATAGTAAAATGTGTGTTCTTTAACGCTTGGTGTAATGATTCTGGCACAGTAGCTTTGAAAATGCTCGTTAGCAATAATTTTCTAGGTGTTTGTAACTGAAATGAAAAGGGGAGGGGGAAAAAAAGACTAGTTAACGCAACAGTGTGGTTCTGGAAGTAGTTAACGAAGAGATTCAGGATGATAGAAAAAGTATTTTGGGTTTAAAAAAAAACAGCATAACCCTTTTAATAATTAAATGAAACCCAAAAGCACGCTTGAAAAGTCAAAGACTTGCAGGTTGTTGGGTAATTACTTAAATAGTGAAAAAATGGCACACATCTTAATAATTGATAACGATAAAACTAAGAGTAGCTGCTCATTCACCCTGAAAGCAGTGAGTGAGTGAACTTTTTAATTCATTTTTATTCCTTTACCTCAACATATTCCCTTTGTTAACCCTCTGTACCACTTCAGCAAGGGGGGCAGACCCAAACGCTGACTCTGCAGCCGGCCCAAGCACCTCAAGGACAACCAGACGGCCAAAACCAGACAGCTGTAGTGGCACAAAGCAACCAGCAGGGGCAGCAGCAACAACAGCAATTCCTACAGGTATCACTAGAGGGCAGAAGATGTCATTGATTTAAAATATTGTAGAGGCATGGTATGATAGGATAGCATTCATGTTTAATTTTACTGTACAGATATTTCATTTTTATGATATTGCGAATAATTATGAAATTATATAAAGTGTGTCTTAAGTGTACGGAGTGTCATTTACACTTGTAAATGTTTAAGACTTTCAGTGACACTAGAGAATGAGCAGAGGGAGAAGAATTTCCTTCATTGTCTAATATCATTGCATTGTCTTGCTGCCAGGGCCCTCGTCTTCTCCACAACAACCAGTCTACGCAGCTGATCCTGCAGGCAGCTTTCCCACTCCAACAGCAGGGAACCTTCACCCAGGCAACACATCCACAGCAGCAACAGCAACTGCAGCAGCAACAACAACCGCAGCAACAGCAGCAACAACAATCTCACCACCAGAGGCACCAGCAGCAGCTTAAACCACAGCCCCAGAAACAGCAGAAAGCCCCGTCATCGCACAGGACTGACGCTGTCAGCAGCCAACAGCAGTGAAGCGAGGAGGGGAGTGTGTACAGCGAGAACATGTGGGGAATTGGAACTCTTAAGGGATTGTTGCATACGTTTGTTTTTTTTGTTTGTTTGTTTTTCCCCCCCGAAATCGTTCCTTCATCTGAAAGAAACAAATCATAGGAAAGAGGAAAATGAGTCCACAAGGAACTCACCAAAAGACTGTCACCATGGCAACAGGATGGATTCAAATCCCCATTTCCTCTCATGAGAAGCGGTGTTGTGAGGGAAGCTTCAGTTTCCGTGAAAACCTGAATTAATCACTTTATGGTCACTTTTTTTGTTTTTTGTTTTTTTTTCTGAGAAGCGTGTCAAAGCGAACTGGCCTTGTACAGATTTACTGTATGATACAAACAAAAACTTGTAAATATCCACCATAGCCTAACAGAAAACAGAAATGTAGTATTTTATATGATTGCATGGAAAAAATAACTGTGTAAGCTTTTATTAGTTGCTTTAAAAAAAACAAAAAAAAAAACAACATAACTTTTTACTTTGGTCAAGTGTGGTCAAAGATGGAGCACTGACTCCTCTTAGACCTCCCCGCCCTACCACCACCACCACCACCACCACCCCTCCCAGGAAAAAAAAAATTAAGTCCAGAACAAGGTTTTAAAGTTCTGAGTGTTTTAAAAAAAATGGCTGGGCTTGGGTGTTTTTTGTGGAAGTTGTTTTTTGAACACTGTGTCTCTGAGACAAAAAAAGGCTCTCTTTCTAATTCCAGATCATGTTTGGCAAGAAACTAGATTACAGTTTAACTGTATTATTTACAGGATAATTACTGTACATATGACGGGTTTAGTGATTCCAAGTGCCAATAACATAGTCAAAATTTTTTTTTACTTTAAATTTCAAACAGACTATTCAAAGGCATATATTTTCCAACAAGATATTACCCCTATTAAAATTAATGCGTGTGTATATAGTAGGGATTATTTTTTAAAAGTTAAAGAGCCCTATATGTAACAAAACAGTATATCCTCAAGCTCCTCAACTTTAGCACTTAACGTGGTTGTGTACGATAAATCACTGTCGACCCTGTTGTTTGTAATCTGTTGTGTGATTCTTTGAGCTAATGAGTGTTTCTGAGAAAACAATCTTTGTGTGAATGAGTGAACAAGAGTGTCTGTGGCTGGTGTGTGTGTGTGTTGCCCCTTGTGTCTTACAATAATTGACTTAGTAAAGGGTTTGAAGTTGTTGGATGGTACTTGTATTCTCAGGAATGTGGAAAGTTTTTGCTTCTGCCTCAGTCTGGAACCAGACCAGAAGGATTAGACAGTGATGCTGCAAAGACCATAGGAAGAAGATTCATAAAGGAAGTGGTGACTGAATCAAATTTGCCCCAGATTTCTTTAGAGCCTTCGTTGTTTATTTATCAAAGCATATAAAAATATGCTGGTGGGTTTTTTTTGTTGTTTTTGTGGGGGTAGATGTTGAGACGCAGTAGAGCAGAATTGCAGAGAAATCCTTCTGTTGTCACTCTTATTGGAATACGCTAACCTCACGCTACCCAAGCATCTGAATTTCAGCTGACTATCTTAAGGTCTCCTGTATCATCAGTGTTTCGTCCTTCTTCCTAGGCCTCAGAAAACCTCATGCAGTCCAGTTCACTTGACTCTCGGTTCTCAAATAGCAGTCAAAAACCAGGACAGGGTCCCGCTCCACTTTAAATGGTTTGGGCTCAGCCTGTGTACTTCAGTGATTAAGCCATATCATACAGAAAAGCCTTGGTTTGGAGGAAGTGAAATGTTGGCAAAGGAGCATTTAGAATGTGTTTTGTCTCAGAGTGTAGTAAAAGTGTGCATGTGGGTTTGTGTGAATATAACATCTCCTGTCCTTGATCCTACTTCTTATATCACTTGGGGGTCAGTATTTCTTTCCCCTGGCGATAGCCAATCAGTTCTTGCGTTGCAGTATAAAGGAATTGTAATTTTCAAGGAACGTCTGCTCTCGTTGGGCGCAATATTGTGCGAGCCCGTGTGTGGGACGGCTCAACTTGAATATGTTTGTGTGAATGAGTCTGTGTGCATGTTAGCTGTCGCTTTATCCCAGTATATTTTCATGCACAGAAGTGTGACTGGAAAGTGGTTATTAGGCATTGCAGAGCACTGGTCACCTGCCAGGCTAAAGAAGATGGGTACTATTATTGTTCTGCAATAACAGACTGCTCACAGTGACTCTAGTACTATCTGACAAGTCTCAAATGTTAACCCTTGGACATAAGCTTAATTTAGACTAAATTGCTGTTAGCGGGGATAAAACCTCATTTCTTGTTTTCCCCCATACAAATAAGGAATAGTGGCGAGATTACACAGTGAGGGCTTTAATATTTGAATCAGGTCTTCCACTCGTCTCACATTAATTGTTTGTCCTGTATAGATTAGTGTGTTTGTGTGTGCGTGCGTGCGTTTTAAGGCATCTCTAAAGGGTAATGAAATGTTTATAGTTTGTGTCACTGATACCCAGCCCAAAGAATGTAATGGTGTTTTAAAGAGACTAATGGATGTTGTAACTGTGCGCCTGTTTGACAGGCTTTATGATGAAGGAAATGGAGGGGTGTGAACGAAACTCACAATTCACTGCAAGAATCCAGAACTTACAATCTGAATTTCAGTCTATCGTAAAAGAACCTCTGAATGTTTCACCATTACAGACTTTATTGGTTTGCAGCAATATGTTTCTGACAACATCTTGGTTGGGAAAAGGGTTCAAAATCTCTTCAAAGTTGAGGTCTAGGATATTTGATACGGGACGCCATTGACAAGACGGCGAGCTCCCCCTTCCACACAGATACACAGGTCACCTTTCCACTACACCGTTTGGTTCTAAACAGTTCTAGATCTAGTATAATACTGTACACATACACAAAGTTAAAAACACCAGTATTCAGTGTAAAAACGGTGCTATGCTAACCTGTACTGTATGTATTTCTATCCCTTCTTCTGCTCTTGAACTGTGCTCCTTTATCTACCCCAAAGTCAGATGTAATCAATATTTTGAAGCAAAATGTTTGCTAACATTATTATTATAATCCCCTCTTCTCCCATCTTGGTCAATTTGAAAATAAAAACAGTTGCAAATATTAAATGTGACATGTGTGTTGTACTCAGTTTTTAAGCCAGTGATGGCCTTCCTTTTGACCCACAGTAAAGTACACTTATTGCCGGTCATTTACCTTCACATGCATATGAACTTCTTAATCCATAAGGTTTAAATATGATGTCAGCCCACCCTTTGCAGCTCTAATAGCTTTGTCTTCTGGAAAGGCTTTTTACAAGGTTTAGGAGTTCGTCTATGGGAATTTTTGGCCTTTCTTTCAGAAGCGCATTTGTGAGGTCAGAAAATGAATGTTGAACGAGAAGACCTGGCTCACAGTCTGTTCTAATTCATCCCAAAGGTGATCTATAGAGTTGAGGTCAGGACTCAGGCCAGTCAAGTTCTTTCACACCAAACTCACACATCCATGTCTATATAGACCTCTGCTTTGTGCAAAGCTGTGCAGTCATGTTGGAATAGGAAGGGGTCACTCCCAAGCTGTTCCCACAAAGTTGGGACCAAGATGTCCAAAATTTCTTGGTATCTTGGTATTCTCAAGCATTAAGAGTTCATTTCACTGAAACCAAGGGGTTGAGCCCAACTCCTAACCCCCCCCCCCCCCCCCCCTCCTCCTCCAAAAACCCCCATCCCTACCCACAATTGGCAAATTGCACTGAGACAAGTACCATTCTCCTGGCAACTGCCAAGCCCAGACTTGGTCATCAGATTACTAGATGGAGAAGCATGAATCCCCCAGAGAGCACGTCTGCACTTGTTTAGAGTTCAGTGGCGCCGTGCTATACTGTGATTTTATGCGATCTACCACTTCATAGCTGAGTTGGTCTTGTTCCCGATCGCTTCCACTTTGCTATAACACCACTAATAGCTGGAATATTTAGTAGTGAGAAAATTTCACCACTGGAGTTGTTGCACAGAGTTGCTGGAATTCACTGAGCTCCTAAGGTGACCCATTCATTCACAAATGTTTGTAAAAGTTGTCTGCATGCCTAGGTGCTTAATTCTTTACACTTGTGGCCATGCGAGTGACTGAAACACCTGAAGTCAGTATGGGTGAGTGAATACTTTTGACAACATAGTGTATCTGGCTGGCAATCCTAGTGCCCATCTGAGGTTCACATTAGAAGTTTGACTGAAAAGTGCTATTACTCCTACAGTAATTACTGCCATTAAAATGCATCCATGGAACAGGGATGGCAACCTTTCATCAAGAAGCATCATGCGACACATGATGGTTGGACCATGTTGGCAACCTGAGGCAACATTTCACAAGAGTTTCTTTTACGACTCCATGTTGTTTCACAGAAAACAATAAAAGACTTATTGCAGTTAGTTTGACCATCACAGGTACATTCTTTATTATTACAAGTCAACCAACTGTATCAAAACTGCAAGAACCCGAAAGCCAGAGTGCAGAAACATTTTTCTGCTCTCTCACCAATAACTGTCACAAACAAATGCATTCACTTAAAAAAAAAAAAAGTCTAAAGGCACATCTCTAAGATATTTACATTGCATACAGGTTTGACATACAGTAAAAAGCACACAATCAGTCCTAAATCCTTGGCCACACTGGCTTTGCTAAAGAGACTAAAGTTATCCATAAAAACATACAGCAATTGTTGTTTATAAGTCACAGTTTTCAAAGCTACAACGCACAGGTGGAAATTCGTGTTTATGTAACTTTTATGGCTTTATCTTTTTCATTAGGAATTATCGCTTGCATGCCACTCTGCTATGGCTTCTCTTCTTCTTTTTGTTTCCTCTTCAAAGACACTTTGTACTACCTTAGAGAAACGTGTTTATTTAAAGGCCTGCTGAAAACAAGTTTTAAGGTTTTAGGATTTGACATTTTGGGAAAATATTTTTGCTGAGTGACATAAGAACAATTAACCTTTCCAACATCCAGTCTGCCCTCTTAGGCAGAATGTTTTAAGCAAGATGTCTGGATTGAAAGGCTATGCCTCCTAAACACAGCAGCGACACATGGCAGTGTGCTCCTCACGCTTCTCCTATACTCCCTTTTCATGACATGTTCCCCATTTCAACCCTCCAGCGCCACCACGGGCGATTTCACGACGTCAGTGATGCACTGTCAACCATGGAAGAACCCTGAGACCTATTCTTGGGTTTGTGAAAGAAGGAAAGGAAATGGGTCAGACGGGCTCGGCACGTGTGTAGCCAGCGGATGGGGCAGCATGTGATTGATGGAATACCTTAAACAATGGCAGTGTCCTGGTTTCTAAATCACATGATTCCTACATTACTCGGTAATGCAGAGGTATTTCCGGAGAGGCAGAGGGTATGTAGGAACTTCAGGAAGGATACAAATGATGCTCACGCACAAGCAGCAAAAACTCCTGGAAGGATCTTTGTCAGAGTTCTTCAGGCACCGAGCCACTCTGGGTTGGCAGTGTTGCTCTGAATGACCTCATCTCTCCCCAGTGAGTTCAACAGCAGAATCAACCTCCTCTAGAAAAACAAGAATCTTTCCCTCACCGAAGTCCAGCAGGATTTTGTCAAAAATCTTCTTCAATCCCAACATTCCTCCACAAGATTAAGCTCTTCAAGCGCCATCACAGTGCAGCTACCATGTCTCATAAGAAGGATCTGCCCCAAGTCACCACTGAATACCAGCTAGAAGCCACCGAATAGCTTCTGTACAATCTGGTGCCTCTAATGTGCAAAAATCCATTACTGAGACTTCATTAACTACCATGGCAACTTCTAATGAGTGCTGCAGTGCCATCATCTTTGCTCACATAGCATTGGAGTCACAGAGAATGAGAAGGCACTTCTAATGGTAGCCTTTAATATAAGCTCTATCATTTTAGTCTAATCTTAATGGCAGAGATGGCGTCAGCCAACCAAACACATAGTAGGATCTTGTTTTAAGTTCCTTCCTCCAGGAATTCTGATCAAATGGATGCTTTTTTTAGGCATATATCACAATTATATATCAGTCCAGACTAGAATTAGCAAATGTGTGGACTAGTTTTTCAGCATCCCTCTAAGGCAGGGTCTCCTAACTTTGACAATCTTGTGCAGATTAGAGAAGGCACTCCTAAACATTTCTTCAATGTCTGTGTTAAAATATCTATCTTAGATCTTCACATTAATAATGAAGGCCAAAGTGATGCCATCCAAAGCAAGTATCTGGTTAGATGCCTTGTTTCTTGGGCCAAACTCTTACAGGCCTTAACGTCTTTAAGACAAACTTGTAGTTCAACTGATTGGTTTTATCGGCTTTCACTGGTAAATACTGATAGACAGCAATAAAGAACATATGGAGACGAGTTAAAGACTGCACAGACTGATAATTTTGTATGAACCACACCATTCAACACCTACAACAGCAGCATGGTGACAGTTACGTAAGCACAACTCAAAGCTGTACACTCTAAAAAGGCAAAACTACCACAGGCATGCAGCTCAGGGGCTATTCTACTATCTTACATATCTTTTACTCAATGTTTAGCAACTGCACAAGTGTCCAAGCTTTAGAAATGCTGGTGTGCAGATTTTGTTACCATTGGACCAAGCCAGACAAGCTGATTACCTGTGTATTGTGTCTCCTAAACTAGAAACTACAGTTTTTAAGCTTTACTTCCTCATTTGCATGCGGCGACACGAGGATGGTATAATTCTTCTCATCTATCTCTCAACAAGAAAGTCCCAAAATGTCAAAAATATTTCTATGAAATGGCAGACAAGTCTGATACAAAGAGGTCCTCTAGTCACAGCATCAACTCTGTTTATTTATTTATCAGTTCACTATCATCTCCCCTGTGCAGGTATGTACATGTACTGGCAGCCTTTTGTTTTCTCCAAAGCATCTTAAGATGTAATCTAAGGCTGAATGTGAGCCAAGACTCTTCCCACTGCTGATGGGTGATGTATCTGATGGCCGGTTAGTGCTGAGGTCTGCTTTATTTAGACGTGCACCTGAAATACCTACCATGGAGATCAATATTGCAAGGGCAAGAGTAGATAGAGGCTGAGAGCCAAGTGCAGCCCTCAGTATGTACAATATCTATATGTGTGTGTGTTTCTGTATGTGTGAGTGTGTGTGTGTGTGTATGGAAGATGCAGGAAGGCCAGCATTTGAGAGTTTGTTTAAAATGATCAGCTGTTAGTTGTAGTAGAGTGGAGTGTAGTTTGTGTGGTATGAGGTGAGGAAGGTCAGGAAGGTGGGGATTTATGTATGTGTCCAATTGGTGTGTCAGACATAGTCCAGGAAGACGTCAGCTGTGTTCTGCAGTAAAGGTTGGTTGGGGGCTGTTGTGCTGCAGACTGAGCTCAGTCTCCGTGATGGCGCCCTCTGCTGCTCTGGAGGACCTGAAGCATTACTCAGGGTCAGGTACACCTGAGGAGTAACACAGACTTGTGTTTTACGAAAGAAAGAAAGAAAGAAAAAAAAACAACATAATTTTTGTGCTTTGGAGATAAAATGTAGGGAAATGAGTGAAAAACAAAAAAGACAGATTACAAAAGTAAGACTAAGAGTCGTTCTTGCACTCACATTCTTGGTATTTTCTGACAGCAGCAGCTCTGTTTTCTCCACCAGCTTTTTGAAGGAAGGCCTTTTCAGAGGATCGTGGTTCCAGCAGGACAGCATCATGTCATACCTACAACGCAGGTCACACTGGCATTAGTTTATATGTCTGGGATACAGAAAAACAGCCAGAACACAAAAACAATCTAGCTATTTTATACATCTAAACTACAGGCTGACAGGTTCATAGCCTGTAACAGCTCATATTGCATCAGTCACGTTGTAGAAAATGACTTTAGTCATGGATATAAGGCAGCATCGAACAAATAATAACATATTTGGCTTTTACACCTTAACTGCTGCTGATTTAGTTCAAGTACCCACTGATGGAAAACAACATATAAATTAGATCCAAATAATTTATTTAAATAACTGATCATGTAAAATTATAATAAAAGAAGTCCAGGTTATAAATAAAAACAAAGAATTATTAATTGATCACCACAAAACAGAGTGATAATTTGTTTTGAATAAAACAGTTCT